TCGCCTGAGTAGAGCCAGCACAAGTATGTTTACGCAAGCTAGGAATCACACTGCCCAGCTCAACTGTAAACATATCATTACCCACAGGATAACATCTGAACCTACACTTCCACTTAAAGCATTACTCTTTTCACATCCCATCTCACCGCTGATGATATCCTTTGTAATAACAGCCCTGTGCCCTGCTACTCACATACTCTACATAACTCTGCACAGAACAGATGCAGAGAACAGCTGCAGAGATACATAACTCTGCACACAGGCACCTCTTCCTTTTCCTCACACACAAGAGGGTGCAAAACCTAGATGTCCTTGCATCATAGTCACAGCTCTGTCACACACATCAAAGTACTCCACATATCTTGCAAACACACCTCTGCCAAGCAGAGCTAACTACTGTCTCCCCGGTTCACCACAGCTACACCTAACACTGACCACACTCACGGTACCTGGAGTCGAAGCAGATAAATGCTTTGACCGCTCTCATATTCCAGCTCATTACAGACAATGCCCTTTGTAATATAACCCCATGCCCTGGTATTTATACAATTCTGCATAGAAATTCTGCATGCCGAATCCCGAAGATATACATGCAGCTCTTCCCTATACTCACACACCTGAGAGGATGCAAAATGTAGCTCTCCTTAGCTCATAATCACAACTCTGTTATACACCTATCTCCTCCTATCACAAGCAGGACCAGCTACTGCCACCACCATATAGTGTAAGTACACCTAACACACTGGCTGCACGTGAAGTGTATGCAAATAATCCCCATGGGCTACTGCCAGTGCCAGGGAACAGAGGGAAGGTGACCCCCCCACACACTTTTTGTCCTGTATTAGAGTTAGAGGGAATGCTGTGTGTGAGAGTGAATGAGCTGTAAAAGGAGATGAAGAGCTTGTACACTTCAGTAACTGGGGGTTAGCAGAGTAAAGATATGTGTGTTAATGGGGTGTATTGGGTCTTTGCTGAAAGAGGAGAGCGTTAAGATTGCGTTTCCTGTTTTGAGCAGTTTGAGTTTTGTTCAACTCAGGTCGTCCCCTTGCAGAATGCTGTCACCAAGCAACCTTAACTCTGTGTTAATATAGTTTTCTGCCAACGAATATAAGAAAAAGTTAAAGCTGTCTTTATAGAATTTATAATTTTCACTCTGTATTTAAGTTAATAAGATAGAAAATTTGAAAATTATGACCGGTTCTCAAAAAGTTAAGACTTACATCATGAAAATAGGATCTTAATTTCAGAACTAGCAATAGCATACAAGAAGTAATTTCTGACTAGTATTTATTCAATGACATGCCTAAAATGTAGCTAAAACGTAACTAATTGGCTCCCTTGATATGTACTTGAGCAAATCTAAAAGGCCAAAAAAATAAGCTTGAATGTTCATCTATTGCAGGGGTAGGCAACCTATAGCACGCGTGCCAAAGGCAGCATGCAAGCTGATTTTCAGTGGCACTCACACTGCCCGGGTCCTGGCCACCGGTCCGGGGGGCTCTGCATTTTAATTTAATTTTAATGAAGCTTCTTAAACGTTTTAAAAACCTTATTTACTTTACATACAACAATAGTTTAGTTATATATTACAGACTTATAGAAAGAGTCCTTCTAAAAATGTTAAAATGTATTACTGGCACGCGCAACCTTAAATTAGAGTGAATAAATGAAGACTCGGCACACCACGTCTGAAAGGTTGCCGACCCCTGATCTATTGTAACATTTTGGAGTTGATTATTGCTTAAAGACTGCCAAATCAGCATGAAGAGAAGATGATGGTTTTTCAACCTATTCTTTTGTCTTCCACAGCTACTGTGACACAAAACATGTTTTCACAATCAAATCACAGAAAGTCTGGATAAACTGAGTTTGATTACCTATTAGAAAGGAGACTTGCATTGTCTGTTCATGATGGACACATTGAACTGTCTTTTATCTATGGACCATTTAAGGGGTGATTTAGGGAATAAACAACCAAGTTTGCAATTATTCCTAACAGAGTTACAAAATTTTTGCCAGATATTTAAAGAATGTTTAGTTCACAAGTTGATGTCTCTGAGTGGCTTCTTGTGTAATAGATGGTTTTAGAAATAACTGCAGGTTTTCTAGTCATGTTAGAAATAGAAAACAGGACAGACTGGTACTTATCACGGTAGGGCTGAGTAAAATGTTCTGTGCAAAAGCAATTTATACATAATGATAAATATTATAATAAAGCATTTATAGAGTGCTGTACCTTTGCATAGCACTGTACTAACATATAAGGCATGTTCCCTGCCCCAAAGAGTCTAAAGCCTAAACAAAATGAGACCAATCACAGGTTTGCAATCCAGAGGAGGAAAGGGTGTGGGGATTATTGATTAGGGTTATAAAGGAAGAACGATTGTGTGGAGAGGTGTGTTTGAAGAAGGAATGTGGAGGAGATGGGAAAGTGGGATGAGGCTGGCCTAGGAGGGCAAATATGCATTCCAGCATGATAGAAGGCATGAACAAGAGTAGGAGAAGGAGCAGTAAAAAGAAAGGACTGGGAAGAAGAGGAGAAAGATAAAAGCAGAGATGAGGCGACGAGTTATGTAAAAGTTTACATGTACAAAATGTGTACATATTCTCTCCACACACAAATCATTATTTATTATGTATTAGTTATACAGCCCCATAGGTGTGCATAGAGGGAGGAGGGATAGCTCAGTGGTTTGAGCATTGGCCTGCTAAACCCAGGGTTGTGAGTTTAATCTTTGAGGGGGCCGTTTAGGGATCTGGGGCAAAATAATCTGTAGGATGGTACTTGGTCCTGCTGTGAAGGCAGGGGACTGGACTTGATGACCTTTCAAGGTCCCTTCCAGTTCTACATTTCTATGATTCTATTACCCTTAACAAATATAAAATAACCATGTCCAATGATCTTACAGTTTAATTAATAGTCCTGCAGCCATGTAAGCACATGCTTAACTCTATTACCATGACTAGTTCCACTGAAATCCATGGGGCTATTTACAATACAAAAATTAAGTATATGTGTAAGGATATATCTACACTGCTATAAAACACCCAAGGCTGGCCTATGTTAGGTGATTCAGACTCCAGCAGCAAGGCTATAAAACTGCAGTGTAGACTTCCAAGGTTGGGCTGGAGCAGAGTCCCAAAGCCCAAACCTGAATGTCCACATCACATTTTATAGCCCCACAGTTCAAGTCCCGCGAGCTCGAGTCACCTCACATGGGCCAGCCTCGGGTGTTTTATTGCTGTGTTGACATTTCCTAAGTGGTTACAGGAGTGGGGCCACAACAGGCCTATATACAAAGTTCTCTTTTAACTGATAGGTAATTTGCTGCTAATGATAGTGGTATTTCCCACCAGTAAAACCACATCTGCCAATGAAAAAGTAAAAGAAAATGTGTAACTCAATAAGTAAAGATGTCATCACATGAGAGGTTGGGTGTATGATAAAATAAGCAAAGTGAGGGAGCAGCCCTTGGGAGACCATTTTTTGTCTGTGTTCACTCAGGGTTGCAATTGATTTTTATCATGTTACTGTTTAATGCTTTGTGGTTTTTTTCTTTTGTTTCATTTTCTTTGTTTTGTAATCAAATCATGGCTCAGGAGTGGCAATGGGTAGCATCCAAATGTAGAGCTGAGGTGGAATGCTAGTTGAAAGAAGTAAGATTTAAGAAGGGATTTCAAAAACTGTAGGAATATATAAAGTAACACTGGATGGGTGTTTACATAGGCTTTCACGCCCATGTGCACATATGGATGTGGGTATCTCTGTAGGTCCACAGACATGCACACGTGTGTATATAATAGCTGAAACAGGGAGTGACTGCTATGGTTAAGTTGCCTATGCGTTTCCATTGTAAAGAAGAACATTCATAAGTTCTCTTAACTTTGTAAAGCTTTCATTTTTGCAGTTGATAGTGTCCAGGTTTGATCTTTGCACAAAGATGAATTTTGCTGTTGCAAGTCTGCCAGTCTTACCTCTGCCCCAGTGTAAGTGCTCATTACAATACAGTCTTCAATTGCACGAGCACACACTCTCATTTCCTCAGGACCCTTGCCTCATTTAATGTGCAGAGAGTGGGGAAGACAAAGGGATAAATAGGTAGAGACAGGGGTCCTACAGACTGGTTCCTCATTTTGGGCACAAAACTTTTTGCAGTTACAACACTAAATCTGGAGTAAACCCAGTAAAGTCAAAGTGCTTACTCTTAATTTACGCCGGTGAAACTGAGCACCTTTGGTCCCTCAGTGCTAGGATGGATGATGCGTAGTGAATGTGACAGGGGATTGTACTCACTCAGTCCACCAGTGGGACAATAGTCAATAAGATGAGGCTCCACTAAATGGAGGATAAAAATAAATATTGCACAGCTGCCTTATTCACTGAGCATTATACAGCATGTGTACAGAGGATGAAAGTCACCCCGTGCAGAGGGCATGCACTACTCTATTCCCACTTTAGTCCTCAAAACAGAACTTAAGCCTTTGTCCCCCCAGCCAAATCTACATTGTGCAAAGCTGGGAGCAATCTTGTCCTTGCTAGCAGTCTTTATACCATAATATACACAAACAAAACCAGGCCTATTTCTTTCACCTTATTCCCAGCTCATATCCTGTATGTGAAATCATTGCTCCTTTATACACTTCATCCTTGACCTGTGCTTTATTTCCCCAAGTGTCCCAAGATAAATCTAGATGTTGTTAATACTGGGGCAGCTCAATCATGTGACTTATGGGAGCTAGCCATTTTGGAGTCTTGCTCATGCTTTCGGTCACTGGCTGAGAATGGAAGTAGATTGTTTCTGTTACTGAAAGCCCCCATTAGTGACTGTTGTGAATGCTTTAGACAATCACTCCTCAAAATCAGCTTATTAAAAACATGAAGGTCCCCTTACATACATTTTCTAGAAATCTTGATCACTGTATAGACAATAACTCTGTCTCTGTAGCAAGTGAGGAAGAAGAGAACATTTGAGAGTTTTAATCAGAAATATAGACTGCAAATGTCATAACACAGAGGGATTTTCTTGTGCCTCTAATATTGCTGTCAAACAGCTAGCACAATGATGGAACCTGCCTTTGCTATTTACTAGTTAGGGGTGGATTTATAGAAGTGCCGCTGGACTGCCTATGTCAGGGGAGGAGATAAGAGGAGAGGCAGTGTTGGAAAAAGGTGGAGCCAGAGAGCCAGCTGGGGACTGAGCTCCACCTGAGCTGTTCTCAAGATTTGTTTTCAAGATTAAAGGTTTGCAGGTGCTCATGGAGAACAGCAACACTTTCATTTACACAGCAGGTAAGGGAGGACAATCAGCATGTGCCATCCTTGCTGCCCTTAGATCCATCAGTTGACTAGTTGGCTCCAGTCTGGCTTAATTAGTAGCAACCAAGCTGCTTACCTGGGTAATGGAAATGAGCATTCAGTGATTCTGGTGCTATGTATGGTTGCAATAATTTCTGCAGTTTCAGGGTTTGGCTAAATATTACAGGTCAATACCCAGGACTTTGAGGGGTCAAACAAAATAACCAACACTGTCACATGTTACTTCCCTTCATTAATTGTTTTGACTATGTTGTTCCCATCACCAATGACAAAGAAGGCAACTTTGCTCTTTCACTACCCATTCTCTCATCACATAACTAGGTCTCTTGCAAACTATCCAATATGCTTAGCAGCGTGTGTGAAATCTTTTGTCTAAGATGGCCACATTAAGAAATGTTGATGCATATGTTCTTGTGGTAGCAGCCCAGAATAGAAGAGGGATCAAGGGGGCAACAACAAAACATGGAGGGCCATTATTTTAATAACAAAATCAGTTTTATACTTGAACATAAATTTGCATTTAGGGGCCAATATTGGATTAATAATTAGCCCATGTCTACTTTCACGGATAATACCAACATTCTGTGTTGGTATGCTGTGATGCCAACATTTCTTTCTGCTATTACTGTAGTCCATACATAGGCAACAGGCATATAAGACCTCTCTACTACCTCATCCCCATCCTAGCCCATGAATGTGACTGCATCAACTGTGAGTGTGCTCATCATTCCTCCCCCAACATTGGTGCCATGGCGAGAATTCCTTCTTACGCCAGAAAGTTGACCCAAGTAAGAATCAAACCCATAGGGAATTCCTATTGTTAGCCTCACTGAGCTTGTTTGGACTCCTGCCTATGCCTAGAATTTTCTGGCAGATAAAGAGGATGGGGTGGTAGAGAGTGGGTGCAGGTGCATGGGTTGCCCCTTCTAGAAGCAACAAGGCTGCTCTCTTGGGTGAACACAGTGCATGAGGAAGGTATCATCAGAGCAGCAGTTAGTGCATCAATCACATCACCATGCATGAAAAATAGTTACTGTCTTACAAGTATTACAAGTTTAGGACTAAGTTTGGATTAAGATCGGCAGGTTAAGTTTGAGCCAGCTGCTGTTCTTCTAGGAGCTGATCTCTTGTAGGCACTGTGACCGCCTTAGTAGTGGCAGCTGGTGGTATCTGTGGAAAATAAGAAATGCAAAGGGAATTATTTTATTTATTTATTATTTGTTTTAACATAGTACCTAGGATCACTAGTCATAATTCAGGACCTCACTGTGCTAGGTGCTGCACAAACACACAACAAAAAGTTGGTCCCTGCTCCAAGGACCTTACAATCTAAGTATAAGACAACAGATGGACACAGACAGATGGGGACGGGCGAGGGGGAGTACAAGTAAACAGTGTGATAGTTGTGTTAGAATGATAGGTTGTATTCTTAGCACACCAGCAATCTATCCCTTGCCCAGTTTTTGGTAGGCATCATGACAAAGGAAAGTTTTGAGGAGGGATTTGAAGATGGATGTTTATGTGGAGTACCTCCCAAGTGTATGGGGCAGGTTAGGAAAAAGCACAAAGGTGTTTGAAAATTTTACAAGTGGGCAGTTGGCATCATGGGCCAATAAGAGAAGAGCACAGACAACTCTATAGCGAATAAGAGATGATGGGTAGGGTGGGGATTGACTATGAAGAAATGTGAAAGTGGATGCCTTCAGTATACTATTGGCAATGCATACTGTGGTGTCTCACTGTCTTTCTAAGTGGTTTCATGTAGATGTTGAAGAGAAAAAACGGAGGTATTATGGCTCTCTGTGGGGCTGTGCAAGTAGTATTAAAATCCTAAGTCATCTTCACTCTGGGTTCTGCTGGAAAGGGACAATCCATTGTAATATTGCATAAGTTAGTCCAGCGAGGTCATGCTGGTGGATGAGGAACACCTGAAGACACCTCTATAAAAAGCTGCAAAGAAGTCTAGTCATATGAGAATAGCAATATCGTCTGCATCCATAGCTATGTAAAGGCATCTTTTTGTGCTATCAGAATGCTCTTTTTCCTGTAACAATATCTGAAACCCAAGTGCAAGTCACCTGGGAAATCCAGGATGTTGGCAGAGGTTTCAGGCTCCAAAAACATGTAAGTCTTTGCTTTCTCTATGTTCTTGCTTCTGAATGGAAAGTTGGATAGGAGATGGTAGTTTGAGAGGTCTTCTGGCTCCAGTGCTATCTTTTTGAAAATGGCATGGACAATTGCATTTTTAGGGGAAATAACAATTGATTATTATTATTTCTAAAATGGCTTGTATATCTTAGCCTGAGTGGGATTGTATAATATGGTTAGGAGTGGGAGAAATTGCATATAGCTTTGGTTTAAAATAAAAAAAAGAGCTTGACAAAAGCTACTGTGAGTTGCTATGCTTCAGTTCATTCCCACCCACTACAGTGTCAACTTCAGCTGAGTAACAGGACTTCTCAGTCTGCTTCTCTTCCAAGTTCAGATAGTTTGTGACTGGCAGAGGCCTACCAGGGAGATATTTAACAACTCACTGTAAAATTCCAAATAGAATATGTTGGCGTTAAAGCTAAGTCAACACAGTATAGTATCTCCAACTGAAAAATACTTTAATTATCAGTGTACTTTGCTCACCTAGATATGAATGTGTGTAATGTGATAAGGAGCTAAATGCCTGATGTATGTCTTATAATCAAGCAGAAATCCTCATGCTGCTTAATAATAAGACATGCAAAACATTACAGAAGAGAACTTTTTAATCTGTAATATGCAAAGGTCCTTATCTGGTATTGATAACTTGAAATCCAAAATACAGACTGTCTAATAAATAATAATTATAATAATGGCTCCTAGGACATGTCATAGATCATTTGTCTGCAGTTAACTGCTTAATGAATGATCTGACTGAGGTGAGTTATTTACCTGAAGGTGACCTACAAAGCTTTTTCCAGATTGTTCACTTTTACAGCATAAGAGATTCCTGACCCATAAAGATACATGTTTTTGTCAAAATTCCTTTCACTTTTTTTAAGATTAGTGACGCTGACTCTTCTCTAGCACACCATCAACCTCCACTTCACAGAAAAACCAGAGTGAGCCTTAGTTATATTGGTGCTATCTGCATGCCAAACAGATGGACATATTTCCCCTCTTTAACACACTCTTTATTCATTTCTTCCTTATTTGGGTTAAAGCTGCTACACTTTCATGATTGAATTTGGTTCAGTTGCTTGCCTCCCAGCCCAGAGAGGGTGGGAGATGAAATCTCCCAGACCAAGATTAACTGACATTGTAACTAAGTGATTAATATGTCTATGAAGTTTGTGATGTTACTATTTCACAGTGAACAAAGTTAGACACACTGCTGAGGCCAAAGAGCGGGATCCAAAAGAAAAACTGCATGGAGGAATTAAAAAGAAAACAAAAAAAGGGGGGGGGTATTTATAGTAACTCCCATATTTAGGTGACCTAACATTTTTACTTATAAAGGATTCTTGTGCCTTTTTTTTTTTTTTAAGCAGCTGTTACTCCTCCATTGCTGCAGGACTTTGAAATTTGGCAATGGAAAGCCCTCTGGTAATAGAAATGCCTTTTCTTTGTCACAATAAAATTCTGTTCAATTTTTGCAGAGAGAGAAACTTTAAAGAATCATTATTTCCCTTCTCTTTCTTGTGTCCTTCAAGAACGTTTTTGCAGCCTGTCAAAATAATAACTAAAGGTGATGCTTATTAAGAGCTGGGCTCAGGCTGTCACAAGTGGAGCAGCACCCAAAATACTGGAAAAGCAGTAATGTGAGGGGGAAGAGCTGGTCTGGGCTCACCCTGACCACCTCCCAGACTCAGCATAAGGGTGCAGCTGTGCATTTACTCCTGGCTGCAGCAACCACATGGGGCAAGAGCTCTCAAGCTCCCATGGGGAGGGAAGAGAGAGAGCCTGGTTGGGCTTCTCTGACCAACTACTCTTCTGAGAACCAGCTCTTTCCCTCAGTACACTCCTCCTCCCACAGATAAAGCCTTATGCTGCTGCCAGCTAATGTAGTTACTCCTGTAGATCAATTAGTAAAACCTTGTGCTGTGGTGCTGAAGGTTGGTTCAGCAGTCAAACCCTCCTGATTTATGACTGAGGAGTTGCTACCGTAGCACACTATAGCGGTTCTTTTCATCTTTTTCCTTGAAAAACAAACAAAAACCGAAACTGGAAATTACATTATAAAAATGACATTAAAAGAATGTTATTTAGGTTACAAAGTCAAGCAGTCAACCTTCATTTGTCTCCCTTGAGTGTATGCATTATGATGCCAACTTTAATGACATGAGCCCACATTATTTTTTTCCATTGACGCTACCTCCTTCTCTGCACAGGCTGGATGTACAAGAGGGTGGAAATAAGATTGCACAAGAACCATAATTCTAGAATATCTTAATGTGGGGAGGAATGTTAGAAAATTGTGAAAAAGCTGTGCAGGTCAGTTTTAAAACTACAACTTACTGACAAACCTCAGGTAAGATGGTGATCAAAACAACACAGATTATTTCAGATAGGGGTCTGAGAAAGCATTAGTACTTATCAAATTAATTAGGTGATATTTGTCAAGTAGTTTGAAGATGGAAAAACACAAATAAGTGCCAAGTATTATTTTTGCTAATACATATTTTGTTACTATCATCACAAGATACTTAAACAGACATGTAACTTTACTCACATGAATATCCCCATGAAACTTCATTATTTCAGTGGTTGCAGGATCTAGGTCTAAGTGGTGATCATTTATTTAATCATAATCAGCTAATTCTTAGCACTATAAAAGACAATGGGCCAAATTCAGAGGTGATGTAAATCATAGTGAACATGGATCTAAAGTGGGCCTGATTCTGATTTCATTAACCCTACCATAAATCAGGGGTAATTCCACTTAAATCAATGGAGCTAACACATTGCAGAACTGGTCTGAGAATAGAATCAGATGGTTGCCCATCAGTTTAGCAGTTGTGTGTGAAATATTTGTAGTAGAAATGGGAATCAGCATTCTGTGTAGTCTCTTCCCCTCCCCCCCACCCTCCCTATTTCTTCATGTTTTAATGCTTCAACAAGTTTAGTGCCTGATCCAAAGAACTTTAAAGTGTTTCCATTGACTTCACAGAGTTTTGGATTAGGCCTTCTTATCGCTCACTATCAGCATAGTGGAGTCAACATATATGATAGTGAATGTTGAATGGTAAAACAAAAAATCTTACAATTGCCCATAAGGAACCCTTACACACAGGCACTGTGCAGTTTGGACAAAACTGTAGAAAAAAATATAGTTTTCCAGTTTTATCAACTCTAGCTGATAAAGAGGACCTCTCATGATTTCCATGCACTCCCATCCTGTTGCACAGATGGAAGCACACCAAATGGTCTTGCTGCTCTCACAACGCCCTGAAATAATGTTTTCTTCATACTGCTACCTGCTACATGGTATTCAAATGACCACGACAAAATGTCACACTCTTATTGTCACACTTATTGTCACACTCTTAACCATTATTATCAGACTGTCCATCATGAGAAGAGAGAATGACGACATGACCTTTAGGAATATCACCCACATCAGGAAACCATTATGTCAGCTGAGTGAAGGTGAGCAGGGAGATGTATGAAACTCTGACAATAAAAAAATAACTTTTTTTTTGTATGGGTGAGCAGGTATGGGAGATTACGTGGGATGCTGTTAAACAATCCACCTATGAAACAATCTTCAAATACTGCTTTTTTCGTATCACAAGCTGGAATGATCTGTTTTGGTATTATTAATGCATCCTTTCACCAAAATATCCATGCTCCAATCTGTGTTACTTTTGAGATGAGCAACAAAATTGCCCCAGTTTAAGACAGATTTTGGGAGATTTGTTTATGCAATATATTATTTCTTCATACAAAGCCATTTCTTTTATTAATATATACCAATCTTTGTATAATGCTATTAACGTTATAGTAGTTTCTCCTACATATTGGTCAAAGTTCAAGTGCTATTGCTCTCTCACATGACATCTCAATTAAAATTTTATTGCTTCCTACATCTGGTTATAAGTAATAGAAACCGGATATGACAATGTACTTGTTTTTTCCCCCAAGTGTAGGCATTTTACATACCTTGTGATAAATAATAATTGATGATGCAGCTGGTCATCATTATATTTCATTATGTTCCTGAGGCAAGAGGTGGCCTTTCAAGTTCAGAATAGTTTTGTTCTTGTGTGCAACACATCTGAGAAGACATCAAGAGTTCATTCTGAGAGTTGATATTGTATATTAAGGTTGTAAACCAAAAGCCATCAGACAATTCAAAAAAGCTGCTTGGATTTTGAGGAAAATTTGCAGGAATACCATTTGTTTTACTTCTGAAAACTCTGTTAAACTTTTTGTTGTTGGTTTTTTTATTAGACTTCTATTACATTCTGCCTTATATTGATTTACCATACATTTATAGCTCAGTTCAATGGTATACACTGTGTACTTTGTGTCTTTCAAAGACACTTGCTCACTAGGAGAGATTTTCTTTTTAAATTATGTTCCATTTTAGCAATGATAAAATATCATAATTTTCCATATCTGTAACTCCAACCATTTTACTCCTACATCTCTGGATTTTTTTGGTTTGTTACAAAGGTGAATTAGCCTATCTTTCTAATTAATCATTGCTATGATTAGGCTTACCATCTTCACATAAATACGATTGCTTGATCAAACTGATGTATAAATACATGATGTTTCAGACATGGTAAATGCAAACTGAGAGTTCTAGGGGACTGTTTGGCTTTTAGGATGCCATTTAGCAATTCCCTATTTCAAACAGCCAAAGGGTAGGGTGAGAATCATAAAATGTTTGGAATTTAGAAACATGTCTGAGCCAGGATACTATACAGGAAGAAGACTGGTGCAAGGTAGTTAGGAATGATCCAACCAACAGGTAATGCAGGAGTTTTAAAATGATTCAAAGTTGTTGGATATTTTTTCTCAGTGCGGGCACTAATCAGAACAGAACAAACTTACCTTTTCACCTTTAAAACTAAGTTAACAGTTTTTCTCAATGCAACTGAAATAGGATCTGAAAGTTGACAGTCCTGGCAGGTTCTGAAATGAGGTGAGATGATTAAAGCTGCTATGCAATTGCCAGCCTATATCAATTACTGTACAGTGCTCACACAACAATCAGTGTCCTTGGCCTCACAATTCTGAATCCTAAATGAGTGCTTCATAATCCCACATTCTAAGCTTGTCTGCAGTGCTGTTTGAGACTGCACAAGGCATTGCCACTGATCCAACTGCTATTGGCATGGCATGGAGGATTAATACCTATTCAATGAGACAGCGTATATCCCCAAATTCCTGATCCTGGCTGGTTGGGAGACAAACCACCATCCCCATTCATCTATAATCCATTGGTATAGGGAGGGTTGATCTCACACATGCTGTGCAGAACAAGCCTTTGATTTTACTTCCATTCACCACCCAAATAGATCCCTGTAAAGTTGCTAGATCTGTCAATATGTCAGTTTGCCCACTGTGATAAATATCTCAACTCAATTTAATCATATTTCACCTGGATAGTCAATGTTCCTTAACCAGGTCTTTGCCACCAAGATGTACAGTCTTTGTAACCAATACTGAGTTATGTGTCTGTGTGATTTAGCATAGAATGGACAATCCTCCTTAACAGCCAACATCAAAAACTATGGATTGCGGCAGCAGCCTCCTTAATTGTATCCTCTGTATAAAAACAATATAATAGAAATAATTTGTTGCCGCAAGTAGTGTCTTTTTGCTTGAGTCCATTTATATCCTAAATCTTTGTAAATATGAACAGTAGATGCAATACTCATAGATAATGGAAAAGAGCTAATCTGATTTCATGCTATGAAGCCCATGCTATGAAACCCAGGTTAGCTAGATTCTGCCAATGGCAAGTCAAACTGGAAATCATGGTACCTGCCTGAAGCTCTCTTTCTATGTTGGAATTGGTCTTACAAACTTTGTTCCTTTAGCAATCAATTCAAGGATTTAAATTTCACATGTGGAATAAACTTGCTCCAGTATAGGTTAACAGTATCCAAACATTATTTCAATTCTTAGCAAAACCTTTATACCAAGAATAGAAATACCATTTTGTTATGGTCACATTAAAAATGAAGAAGCTTTAGACATCTCCTTTTGTACAGCACTATAGCCTGATGTGTCATGCTTTGGCCTTCACAGACATAGCAGTTATTTTGTGATTTACTGTATCAGCATAGTATATGACATCTCAGATTACATTAAGGAGTCCATGGACTATTTTTTTTTATTACTGTGCTTTTATCACCCCTTACAAAAATGGTTATAGGCACTAAAAATCATCTGACTGCCTTTGTATCACCTATTCAGATATTGGTAGGATTACATAAAAATTCTTGAATGGAAATCCTTTACGCTGAGACAGGTCACAACACTTCACATTATTTCCCTGTTAAACAGTATGATTTTGTAAAAACAAGCATAAGGGGAATTTGTACCAACTTAATATTTTCAAAGGAGAGTATAACTAGGGTATAAATGAATTGCACCTGCCAAAAGGTATACATCTGAGGAGCAACATGGCATTGACTAGAGAACGCAACTGCTATGGAATTCCTAAAGGGGTTCAACTGGATGCAAGTGGTTCCTTGAATCCCCTCAAATTTGGGCAATAATTTGATCAGCCCACAGCTACTGAACTGAATTATCTCCATAGACCACACAATCCACCCACTGATATTGGATTAAGATAATTAATTGCTACTATCCTCAAATTTACTTTAAACTGTTCATAGAATCATAGAACATAAGGGTTGGAAGAGACCTCAGGAAGTCACTTAGTCCAATCCCCTGCTTAAAGCAGGACCAACACCAACTAAATCATCCCAGCTAGGGCTTTGTCAAACCAGGCCTTAAAAACCGATAAGGATGGAGATTCCACCACCTCCCTAGGTAATCCATTCCAGTGCTTAACCACCCTCCTGTTGCATTTTAATATAGGATATTTTTAATTTTTGGTGTCCTGTGTTTCTATGGCAGAGCCATGGACAGCCAATGTGGGCTGCTATAAGGCTTGCTGAGGAATCACAATGTTGTGGGATACTGGTTTATGCTGGGATTTAGGAGCTACTTGGCCTGCCTGCTCCTACCTGAGACATGCTGCTCTCAAGTGATCCTACTTGGAGGACCACCATTTATTTCTCATCCCAGGTACTAAGCAGTGGGCAGCTTAACTTTCATTCCCATTTTATTCTTGGTGGGTCCCTCTTTACTGGTAGCTGTTAGAAGAAGCCATCCCAGTACAACAGGAGCTCCACATCAGTTTGAGGACAGCTGGGGAGCATGTAGTGACTTGATCTTGATGCTCTGTAGTGTGGCCTGTACTCCAGCATGTGTCTCACCATCACTTACTGTCTGGGGTGACTCAACATGACTTTAGTACTATGATCTAACCCTTGGTACAATCAACTGCTCAGTTGTGGCTGCAGTTACTTTGCACTTATCTTTGGGACCTGTGACTGCTTTTCAGCCAGGTAAACTCCTTAATTTCAGGTATTTGTTTTGAAAATTAAGGGAATAAAAATTCACTAGCTGATTTTGGCTCCTGTGCACATATAACTTGCAAGTTTGTACTTTGAAAATGTAGCCGTAATGTCACTTTCAGTCTTTTCTTTTTCATTTCAATCAATTTCACGAGAAGGAACTTTCAAGGGAAGAGTTTCAAAACTCTTTTTTGTTATATTTCTGAATACAGAAGCTAAGATCCGGAAACCTGAAAGCAGATTTGAGTCTTTATTTATCTGAATACCACTTCTGCCAAATCATTTATCAGGCCCATTCACTTTCTCCTACTTTTACTGATCATAATGATTTCTGAATTTGATTTGTAAAATTGAATGACAAATGAAGGGTGCCATGACAAGTTAACTACCTTCACAGCCATCAGAGCACAAAAACAGCTGCAATATCATTGTGCAATGAAGGCAAAATGGAAGATGTTTGGGGGGTGGGCAGGGGGAAACACAACTTCATGTGCAAGTAGAAGTAAACAAATTTACTTTTTCCTACTAAACTAATAATAATGTTGTGATTCGATACATAAACCATACACTGGCCAGGAAAGGGTTAACGAGCTGCTGTGGGCTCAATCAGCCCCACCCAGCTACACCTGCTGTAGGTGTCAGGCTTAGAGGGAGGGGCTAAAAAGAGCGAGCACAGCTCAGCTGGAAACTGTCTGGGAGGAAGCGCAGACCTCTAACTCAGTGAGAGAAGCCTGGCTGGGGTGAAGAACTGTTCAAGAGACTGCTTTCTGTCAAAGCCTCCCTGAGGGAAGGTAGGTCTGACCTTGGACAAGTGGGTGATTTGCTACCACTGCTTTGCTTGTTGTTGCTGGGTGAAACTGCTGCCGGGGGTGTCCTGCCTTAAGGAGGTGACAGCCAAAGAAAGACCTCTTTGTTTTGTACACCCAAGCAGTGGCTTGCTGGGAGCCCAGGAGCAAATCTGTCAGGCTTATATTAAAACTAAGTTGTACGTGCTAAACTGATAATTATTTATAATAATCATGTTTCTACTGACATGAATGCTACAACTTGGATGAGATTTTAAATTAAGGCAATAGGGTGAAATCCTGGTTCTCTTGAGGTCACTGGCATAACTTCTACTGACTTCCTTTTCCTCCTGAAATCTTGGACCCCCCCCCATTGAAGAATTGGATGCACATGGCTAAGAAACAAACTGAAAACAACTCTTGTCTGCTGATTTTTTTTGCTAAACTAATTATTATTTAGCAGAGCCTAAGGTTCTAGGCACTGTACACTTGCATAACAAAAAGACTGTCCCCTTTCTTTCTTGTCCTAGGCTATTGGGAAAACATATTGAAGAAAAGCTGGTTTAAGGTTCATTTCATTTTCTGCCAGTTAAGGTGATAGTGCCCAATCCTGAGAAGTGCTGAGTGCCCCACAAGCCCAATGAACTTCACTGGGAATTACAAGTGTTTAGCATTCCTTTCTCAAATTGAGACTGGCTATTGAGGTTACTTCTATTAGTAAGGCAAGCAGGATTTGGCTCTGTAGGTTATAGAATAAGCTAAAGTTAGGGCCTGATCCAAAACCCACTCCTGTCCATGAGAGTTTTCCACTGACTTCAATGGAAGGTGGTTCAGGCCCCTACTGCACTACAATAAATGAGTGGGTTTTTTTTTGTTTTTTTTTTTTT